CAATAAAATGCCAAAAATACAAAAAAATTCCCCAAAAAATCCCAAAATTACCCCAAAAATTGAGCAGCTGGGGAAGCTTCACTGGGAGAGAAAATCAAAATAAAAATAAATAAAACCGCGTTAAAATATCAGAAATTATCCCAAAGTTACCCCAGAATTACCCCAAAAATTGAGCACCTGGGGGAGCTTCACTGGGGAGAAAAATCAAAATAAAAATAAAAAAAACCGCGTTAAAATATCACAAAATTACCCCAAAATTACCCCAAAAATTGAGCAGCTGGGGCAGCTTCACTGGGGAGAAAAATCAAAATAAAAATAAAAAACCTCACATTAAAATATCACAAAATTACCCCAAAATACCCCAAAAATTGAGCACCTGGGGCAGCTTCACTGGGGAGAAAAATCAAAATAAAAATAAAAAAAACTGCGTTAAAATATCAGAAATTATCCCAAAGTTACCCCAAAATGACCCCAAAAATTGAGCAGCTGGGGAAGCTTCACTGGGGGAGAAAATCAAAATAAAACCAAAAAAAACCGCGTTAAAATATCAGAAATTATCCCAAAAATTCCACCCAAAATAATCCCAAAAATACAAAAAAATTCCCCCAAATATCCCAAAATTACCCCAAAAATTGAGCACCTGGGGCAGCTTCACCGGGAGAGAATGGACAAAAAAATTAAAATAAAACAAAAAAACCCCGCATTAAAATATCACAAAATTACCCCAAAATACCCCAAACTTTGAGCAGCTGGGGCAGCTTCACTGGGGAGAAAATCAAAATAAAAATAAAGAAAACCGCGTTAAAATATCAGAAATTATCCCAAAGTTACCCCAGAATTACCCCAAAAATTGAGCACCTGGGGCAGCTTCACTGGGGGAGAAAAATCAAAATAAAAATAAAAAAAACCGCGTTAAAATATCACAAAATTACCCTAAAATTACCCCAAAAATTGAGCACCTGGGGGAGCTTCACTGCAGGGAAAAATCAAAATAAAAATAAAAAACCTCACATTAAAATATCACAAAATTACCCCAAAATACCCCAAAAATTCCACCCAAAAAAATGCCAAAAATACCCACAAATTCCCAAAAAAATCCCAAAATTACCCCAAAAATTGAGCAGCTGGGGCAGTTTCACTGGGGAGAAAATCAAAATCAAAATAAAAAAAAACGCGTTAAAATATCAGAAATTATCCCAAAGTTACCCCAAAAATTCCACCCAAAAAAATGCCAAAAATACCAAAAAATTCCCCAAAAAATCCCAAAATTCCATCCCAAAAATTGAGCACCGGGGGCAGCTTCACTGGGAGAGAATGGACAAAAAATTAAAATAAAACCAAAAAAAATTCCTCATTAAAATATCACAAAATTACCCCAAAATAACCCCAAAATACCCAAAAAATTCCACCCCCAAAAATGCCAAAAATACCAAAAAATTCCCCAAAAAAATCCCAAAATTACCCCAAAAATTGAGCACCTGGGGAAGCTTCACTGGGGAGAAAAATCAAAATAAAAATAAAAAAAACCCGCGTTAAAATATCAGAAATTATCCCAAAGTTACCCCAAAATGACCCCAAAAATTGAGCAGCTGGGGCAGCTTCACTGGGAGAGAAAATCAAAATAAAAACAAAAAAAACCGCGTTAAAATATCAGGAATTATCCCAAAGTTACCCCAAAATTACCCCAAAAATTGAGCAGCTGGGGGAGCTTCACTGGGGGAGAAAATCAAAATAAAAATAAAAAAAACCGCGTTAAAATATCACAAAATTACCCCAAAATACCCCAAAAATTCCACCCCCAAAAATGCCAAAAATACCAAAAAATTCCCCAAAAAATCCCAAAATTCCATCCCAAAAATTGAGCACCTGGGGCGGCTTCACTGGGAGAGAATGGACAAAAAATTAAAATAAAACCAAAAAAAATTCCCCATTAAAATATCACAAAATTACCCCAAAATGACCCCAAAAATTGAGCACCTGGGGGAGCTTCACTGGGGAGAAAATCAAAATAAAAACAAAAAAACCGCGTTAAAATATCAGAAATTATCCCAAAGTTACCCCAAAAATTCCACCCAAAAAAAGGCCAAAAATACCAAAAAATTCCCCAAAAAATCCCAAAATGACCCCAAAAATTGAGCACCTGGGGCAGCTTCACTGGGAGAGAATGGACAAAAAATTAAAATAAAAACAAAAAAAAACCGCATTAAAATATCACAAAATTACCCCAAAATTACCCCAAAAATTGAGCACCTGGGGCAGCTTCACTGGGGAGAAAATCAAAATAAAAATAAAGAAAACCGCGTTAAAATATCAGAAATTATCCCAAAAATTCCACCCAAAATAATCCCAAAAATACAAAAAAATTCCCCCAAAAATCCCAAAATTACCCCAAAAATTGAGCACCTGGGGCGGCTTCACTGGGGAGAAAAATCAAAATAAAAACAAAAAAAACCGCATTAAAATATCAGGAATTATCCCAAAGTTACCCCAAAATGACCCCAAAAAATTGAGCAGCTGGGGCAGCTTCACTGGGGAGAAAATAAAAATAAAAATAAAAATAAACGCATTAAAATATCACAAAATTACCCCAAAATAACCCCAAAATACCCAAAAAATTCCACCCAAAAAAACCTCCAAAAATACCAAAAAATTCCCCAAAATTACCCCAAAATGACCCCAAAAATTGAGCAGCTGGGGCAGCTTCACTGGGGAGAAAATCAAAATAAAAACAAAAAAAACCGCGTTAAAATATCAGAAATTATCCCAAAGTTACCCCAAAATGACCCCAAACTTTGAGCAGCTGGGGCAGCTTCACTGGGGAGAAAAATCAAAATAAAACCAAAGAAAACCGCATTAAAATATCAGAAATTATCCCCAAAATACCCCAAAAATTCCACCCAAAAAAACCTCCAAAAATACCAAAAAATTCCCCAAAATTACCCCAAAATGACCCCAAAAATTGAGCACCTGGGGAAGCTTCACTGGGAGAGAATGGACAAAAAATTAAAATAAAAACAAAAAAAATTCCCCATTAAAATATCACAAAATTACCCCAAAATAACCCCAAAAATTGAGCACCTGGGGCGGCTTCACTGGGAGAGAATGGACAAAAAAATTAAAATAAAACCAAAAAAAAACCGCATTAAAATATCACAAAATTACCCCAAAATTACCCCAAAATACCCAAAAAATTCCACCCCAAAAAATGCCAAAAATACCAAAAAATTCCCAAAACAATCCCAAAATGACCCCAAAAATTGAGCACCTGGGGCGGCTTCACTGGGAGATAATGGACAAAAAATTAAAATAAAAACAAAAAAAAAACCGCATTAAAATATCACAAAATTACCCCAAAATAACCCCAAAAATTCCACTCAAAAATGCCAAAAATACCAAAAAATTCCCCCAAAAATCCCAAAATTACCCTAAAATTACGCCAAACCTTGAGCAGCTACGGGACCTTCACTGGGGTGGTGAAACAGGGACAAAACTCAAAAAAAAAACCAAAACACGACCCCAAATCCCCCCAAATTAATCCCAAATATTTTGGGACCCCAAAACCCCCTCAGAGCCCCCCGGGCCCTCACCCAGCACGGAGCCCGCCACAATCCCGTAGCCCAGAGCTTTGCTCAGGAGGATTTTCAGGCACGGAACTGCGGACAAAGAACAAAGACGCCAAAATTGTTAAAAATTCCCCAAAATCCCTCAAAAATTCGTCAAAATTTGGATTTCCCCCACCCGAAACAAAGATGGCGGCACCATCGCCTCACACCCAAAACAAAGATGGCGGCGCTGGACACTCCCAACACCAAGATGGCGGCGCCCTATCACAAGTTCCGCCCGTAACCAAGATGGCGGCCGCCCCCATAGCGCTGACAGATATCCCAAAATCGCCCCCAAAACCCCCCGGAAAGCCCCAAAAGCGCCCCCCACGACCCCTCCGGCACCATCGAGGAGCTGAAAGCGCAGGAAGAATTGGTCGAAGCAGTGCTCGGGCAGCAGGAACGGGACGAGCCAAGGCCGGAGCGGCTCCATGGCGGCTCCCGTGCTGAGGGGAAAGCGGCGGGAAACGCCCCTCGCACGTTGTGATTGGCTGAGACGCCAGAAAATCCCGCCTCCTTAATCCCGCCCAGTAATTCGATTGGTGATAATCCAGAAGCACCCTGCCAATCAAAATCCACAATGAGCTATGATTGGTCAATGGTTTATTGCGCAACGCGATTGGCTGAGTGGGCGTAAAGCTCCGGCCCCCGCCGCCGCGGCGAGCTGTGATTGGTCAGTTCTTTATTAATGCGATTAAAGTTTGAAGTCTCTCGGAAATCCCAGAAATTCACCCGAAATTTGGATTCGGAGCGCTCTGAACCCCCCAAAATCTTGCTCAAGTCCTCGCTTTAAAGACTTAAATGTATGTGACGAGCACAAATTTGCGGGGTTTTGAGTGTTTCGACTTTGGGCGATTCCAGAGGGGTCCAGGCGCCGAATTTGAGGGAATTGGAGAGATTCGGAGAGCCCAGGAACAGATCTCGGGGGTTCAGGAAGGTCACTGACCCGCTTTCAGGGCGTTAAAACCTTATTTTGTGGATTCAGGCCGGATTTTTGGGGTTTCAGAGGGATTCTGGGGGGGCTCACCCCCTCCAGAACGAAACTTTGAGGGGTCCAACCCCCAAATTTTCAGAGTCCGCAATATCCAAAACAAACCTTTCCCCATTTTCCCTCTGCTCATGCGCAGTGAAGCCGTTATGGCCGCCACCTATGGAAAAACTTCCGTACGTTTCTCACAGCTTTGCGCATGCGCAATATACACATAAACGCCGCCATATTTGGCGAACACTCCGTACTCTTAGACCCATTTGCGCATGCGCAATATACCTATGCGCGCCGCCATGTTTGGCAAAAATCAGTAAATCTTAGACGCTTTTGCGCATGCGCAAAGGACGCATGGACGCTGCCATGCGTGCCCACGCTGCCGTACGCATCAACGTGACCGCACCCGGAAGCGCTGAACGGGCCCGGACCGGAGCCGGGACCCTCCCGGGACCCTCCCGGTAACCCCGGACCGGAGCCGGGACCCCCCCCCGGGACCCCCCCGCTACCCCCAGAGCACGCCCAGGACCCCTCAGGACCCTCCCGGTACCCCCAGAGCAGGCCCGAGACCCCTGCCCGGTAACCTCAGATCCCCCCCGGGACCCCCCGTTATCTTCCCGGTATTCCCAGAATTTTCCTGGGATTGAAGCCCCAAAATTTTGGGGATTTCACCCTCGTTATCCTCCCGGTATTCCCGGAATTCTGCCGGGATTTCACACTCATTATCCCCCCAAAAATTCTGATATTTCCTCGGGATTTAGGCCCAAAATTCCCCTCAAAATTCC